GAAGATAAACAGCGCTATTTGGCCGATATGAATGAGTCTCCTCAAAGACTGATTAAATCAATTTGCACTTTCATTAGGTGCCACGGAGTCTGCAGCAATATTTAAGCACATTCCTGGTTTCTTTTGTCACAAATCTACAATTTGCGTAGTATTAAAGCCACTAACTTGGGAACTTTTTGGTCTCTCTTACAGACACAATTAAGGAAAGAAATAAACAAGCTGATAAGGAGAAGCATAAACATTTGAACCCTGGCAAGCACACTATTGTAGATTGAAAACAGCAGANTGATATTTGTTGAACCGACCTGTGTGTAATTCTAAAAGCTACGCAGCCACAGTAACGTTTCACTTTTGCAATAAAAAGGGACATTGGCGCTACCTGAAAAATAACTGCCGTCCTTGGTCACATGACATGACATTTAAAATACCGCGTGGAAAGATAGTGTATAACACTAACGATGCTAGAACGCATGCATCTTACATGTTGAGTTCTACCATAAGGAGAACCACTCAAAATTTGCGCGTGATTCCGTATGCAATGTATCGTCCACCTAATATAGAAGCCACGGACGCTAACCACTCTACGCATGGGTTTACAGCAAATTGGTTTTGTTCTAAAGAGAATGGTACCACAAGGAGAGAAAGGGGTTACCTGAAACAAATATATAGCTTTGCGATGTTCATACCCAACTGACGGCGATGGAACATGTTTTACGTAGAGTACACATGTACCTTTCCCACCCCACCCCCACCACTTCCTTGCCTCTGGACTAATTAATTAACTGAAATTAATTAATTAAACAAAACATTAAAGTTTACACCTTAGTGCCATAGGGTCATAGGGCCATAGCGCCATAGTGCCGTAGCGGCGGGCAGTTCCCATAACCGTCCCAATAGTGCACTCTGCACTAAAAAATGGACCTGGCGTGTAAAATCGGATCTGTTGGATTGATAGGAAGAGGAACAATAGTGGGATCTGCAACACTAAATATCACTGTTCTTGGGACAATATCAGGTGCTGATCTTATTTCGAGCACGTTCACAGAAGCCAAAAGTTGCAAAAGAAAGATTGAAATGTGTAAATTTGCTTGCACTTCATACGAAAAAATATCGACTGATATAAGGTCATTTCTGAGAGGATTGGAATTCGATGATGAACGATTTCTAGACTACATCAAAGTTGTCGATAAAATTATAATAGATATGAGCCATTATACGACAAATTTGAGAATAAATACAATTAATTATTCACAACTGAAAAAGATGTAATCATTTTATTCTAGTAATATACATACATTAGCAAAGTTTTTTCTGACTTTGTTATTGGTATATTATTAGTCGGTGAATCCAAGAATTCGAATTTTGTTTTTTTAGAATAAAATTAATGTTAATCATTCGTTTACGATTACCATTATCTTATCTATTTTTCGGAAAATATCATGTATTCTATTTTTATTGTTTACGGATAATTGCCATCCATTTTTACTAGTAATATCGTTTAGCACATTTTCTAAATGATATTTTCTTTGGTAA